AGATTGTTGATAAATCGTCCACCAATCTTGACCCCAAATTTCTCCTCATAGAGCCCAGCCTCCCAGATAATCTATTCTGCATATAGGTTGAAAAGGTATGGAGACAGGATGCATCCCTGGTGTACGCCCTTCCCAATTTTGAACCATGCAGTGTTCCCCTGCTCTGTTCTGACGACTGCCTCCTGGTCCAAGAATAAGTTTCGCATTAGAACAATCAAGTGTTCTGGGATTCGCATTCTTCTCAGAGTCAGCCATAGGTGTGTCTGAAAAGGGTCAGTGGTGGTGCTACAGCTGACCAAGAAGCATCACAAGAGGAAAACTAGAAAGTCACTTGAAGTAGAAAAGCTCTTCCAGCGCAGGTTATAAATGTCTCTTTCTTCCTTGCCCAGACCAAGGAAAAGAGAACAAGACACAAAGAGGTAATGAAGAGAAGGGGAAAGAAAGAGAGAACCACAGAAATGCATGAAAGCCTTTTAGATATAATGAGCCAGAACAAGAAGAAATGTGGGTAACTGCAAAAGTCCCTCCTCTTCTCCTTAGTTTGCTTTATTCATTTAGTCACAGCAATCTCTGACTAAAAGTGACTCAAAGTTTGGTGTGAAGTGCAGGTAAGTCTCTCCACCTAAGCCGCTTCTTCTCTGTTCTCCAACCACTGAGCTTCTGACTCTTTTGACCTTGTGGGTTCTTGGCATACATGTGTCATTTGTAAAAGAAACTGCTGTTGAGAGCTATACTTTACAGTACACGAAGCATATTCTCTAGCTATTATTTAACTCATCTGTCACTAAAATCTTTCAAGACAGCTGTCATTTTAGTTTACCTTTTTCTAATGGCTCTAGTTCACACACTGCATATGCGTAATATAATATCTAGCCCATAGAAAGTTCACATTAAATATTTGTTGACTTGAAACAGGAGTGGCATCTACTTCTGTAATAGCTTCCCTCCAGAAAAATCTATGAATGTGGAGAAACTATGAAAGCTATACAAGTGTTCAGGTCTTTCGTTCATAGGGTCACTATGAGCCGTCTATGACTTGATGGCACTTAACAACAACAATAACTGCAAATCTCCCTCCATGTGATGACTGCCTCTGAAAACCCACTGTGGGTTGGTTCTGACTCAATGGCATGCAACAACAACTGTTAAATGAGGGTGCTTTGGTGGCCTAGTGGTAAGAAACAGCCTTGCAATCCCAAAGGCATGTGGTTCAATCCACCAGCTGCTTTCCAGGAGAAGGATGGGCAATCCTTTCATGCAATTAACTGCCTCTAAAAACCAGCTAGAGGGGGTCAGCTATTGGTCAGTCCCGACTAAATGGTACATGACAAGAATGACTGTTACATTAACAGGACTTATTAAGTAGCTTGGCCAGTGTCACCAGCTAAGAAATGACAGTCCCAGAACCTGAATTTGAATTTCTATTTTATTGAACATCTCAATAATGACTCCTAGGTTTTTCATACACTGCTATTGTTTGGAACCTATGCTCTGGTGGCCTGGTGGCAAGAAACTGCACTGCAATCCCGAAGGCACAGGCTTCGAGGCCACCAGCTGCTCCACGGGAGAAGGATGGGCAATCTCCTCCAGTGCGATTAATGGACTCTGAAAACCTGCTGGAGAGTCAGCTATGGGTCAGTTCTGCCTCTACGGTACACAACAACCACAACAATTCACTATAGTAGCAAATTAAAACAGAATAAACGGAAATAAATAAATAAATAATTAAAATAAATCGAAAGAAAAAAACTGCAGTTCTTCCATCACACTAGCTATATTCCAAGTGCTCAGAAACTACATGTAGCAATTGTATAGTACAAATAAGAAAATATCAACACCTCCATAATACATCTTCAAGGATATGAACATGTACGGCTAAGCACAATTAATAACAGTGCATCTAAATTCCAAAATCAATCTCCATAATAGTCTATGTGTTTCCTCCTACTGCCAAAGGGGCCCTTTAGAGTAGTGAGAGAAGATCTTCACCCTGAAACCCACAACATCCCTTTTCAGCAGGAAGTTGTTGTTGTTATGTGCCATCGAGTCATTTGCGACTCATAGCGACCCTATGTACAACAGCCCTAAACTCTGCTCTGTCTTGTGCCAATCACACTGCCTCTGACAGTCCCATCCCGATAACCCCAGTCACCAAATCAATCCACCTCATAGAAGGTCTTCCCCTCCTGCTCTGTCCCTCCACTCTGCCCAGCATGATGTCCCTCTCTAAAGACCTGTCTCTCCTTACAACATGTCCAAAGTATGTCAGGTGAAGCCCCAGAATCCTTGCCTCCAAGGAGCAGCCTGGTTTAACCCTCTCTAGGATGAATCTGTTTGTTTTCTTGGCAGTCCATGGTACATTCAATACTCTTCTCCAGCACCACAGCTCAAAGGCGTCAATTCTCCTTCTATCCTCCCTAGTCATTGTCCAACTCTCTGATGCATAACAAGTGATTGCAAAAACCATGGCCTACATCAGGCGCACCTTAGTCTCCAGAGAGACACTGTTGCTCTTGAGTACTTTAGAGAGGTCCCTAACCGCAGACTTTCCCATCACAATACGTTTTTTGATTTCCTGGCTACTGGTGCCAAGAGTGTTGACCGTGGAGCTGAGTAGACTGAAGCTGTGAACAATCTCAATCTCTTCACCATCCATCCTGATGCTACCGATTGGTCCGGTGGTAAGAATTTTTGTCTTCTTGACATTGAGCCTCCTCAGTCCATATTGAAGGCTGCAGTCCTTGACCCTCTGCAATAAGTGCATGAGGTCCTCCTCAGTTTCAGCAGGAAGTAGCTAAGAG